CTTTCGCAGTTTCTGATGATTTGACGGATGAGAACATTCTGATGATTTCGTTTCACACACTTCTATCGTGGTTTGACTCGTTGAGCACTGACTGAATGCAAAAAGTAGCACTTGTCAAAAATGCGTTTTTTCGTCCATTAGATACTTCATTTCGTCGCGTTGAAAATCCACAGGAAACAAAACTGCAGTAAACCGTCTAATATAGTTGCAAAGAGTAGAAAACACGCTATCGATTGGTGTATGACACTCCTCCGGAAAAGTGGACTTTCGCCGGAATAATTCAATTTGAATAAAAGCGTATGAAAATATGCACAAATCCAATAATTTCTCGGATATTTCAAATGAAATAAAAGTTGTTTATCCAGCGAAGATGAACAATATCAGTTGAAGATTATGCAATATTAATTGCAAATCAACCAACTCAAGAGACTCTCATTCGTTAGAGAATGTTTATGACGTGCATTCCGGCACTTAATCAAACCCTATAGCAACATTCAGCAGTGTCGATTCACCTATCAGATGATCAAATTGATCAATGAACTACTTAAAAACAATTCATCACACTCCATTCAACAGCTGGTAACTTTTCTTAATCAAATTGTTATACTTCTGAAAGCATCACCCTTCATCAAAATATCTTCCTCGATAATTCACTGAGTATCAATGCTCATGCAATTTCGTCTTGTAATTCCAGTTTAAAATCATTAAAAAGTTTAAAGTTGTGTCATTTCATTTGTTTTCGTTTCATCATTTTATGGAGTTCTAGTTCACTCAATCTTCTGCTCATTTACTTTTCCAGTTCCATAATTTTTGAGCAATTCGATATAATCAATGAAAAATGTGTCCATGACAAGCTATACATTCCTCAATTTAGCGACTCTTCCAGCAGTTGCATACTGAAAAGTTTCTTTTAGATTCAAATGAGATGGATGATACCTTTTTGGATGTAGTCATTTGACTCATGATTATCAATAATTCCTTTTGACATATTCACAGTGCTGACTGACATCACCACAATTGACGAATTTGTTGCTCATTGTTCAATCCAAAAATTCTCGATTTTAGTTTTTTCTTCGTTATTCATTTTTTGTTGAATTGTAATGCCAATGATAAAAAACATTTAAATTGCATATGAATTGTAATAAAACAAACTACTTACCTACATGTTGTGGTATTGTTTTGATCGAATCGAATCGTTTCATAAACTCATTTTCAAATATCTTCATTTCAGTCAACATCTCATTTGCAACATTCACTCCACTATTCACTCTTCTGCTGGCACTGCAGTAGAATTATTCATTCACGATCTGCTTTAATCACCACTAGCAGATGCTGGTGAGGTGGTTCGATCTCTGAGAACGACTCTAAATAATTTCATCTTTACATTCCAATAGAGCGCTGTCAATCAAACATCGAAACCTGCTCTCGGCATGTACTCTGTGCAGATTTATTATTGAAAGCATAGATCCGAACTCTTCATTTCAAATTATACAAATGCCCTCGAGTCAGTTCAGTAGATGTTTTCCCTTGTTCTTCTAGGATGCCACTTTGATCACAAAACTTTTGGTTTGTTCAAAATCAGATTCTTTCTTCTCTCAATAACAACGAAATGTTTATTTATTCATGATCAATCAAGTGTATGAACACTGACATGAAGTGGATGGATGTGTGTAGTTAGCAAAACTGTTGAACAACGAGCTCATTAGCTGAACTCAATCGAATGTGATGACTATGTGTTAAAAGATATTCAGCTAAGTGCAACTGTTCCACTCAGTTCGACCATCGATCTGAGCGTTGAATACAAGAGTTCATAAAGTTATTGATCTGATTATTTATTATGAACGTTCTCTGAGGCATTTGATTCAATTCCCATTGTCAGCCAATTCACTGAACTTAATTTATCGCTCATCGATTGCTCCGAATATTTACATTGCATCATTTTCATTTAGTAGTCAATCCTATATCATAAATTTTTTCGAAGTCAGCATTCTGAACGGACAGTTCAGTTTTCATATCGAATATCTTCAGTTTCAAACACAGTCATCCTCGAAATAGTGATCATTATGAAATGATATCGTATTTCCTTTCTCTTTTCGTTTTTTCTTAGTCATAAAAGCTTTTGAAGGTGATTCTAATTGAGATGTCCATTAAGAGGTATGGCTGCTGCATATACATTTAAATAAATTTAGCAGATGAGTTCCGGAGGCATAAGTCTCGATTTATTGCGGATGTTCTGTAGTTGGCATGAAATGCATCGCTAAACTTCAATCTCTTTTGTTTGCTATGCAATTTGACCAACTGTGCGTGCTGTTCCACTGATAATGCGCCTCATTCAGTCTACGTAGTTTCCAGTGCACCTTCAGATGGCTATAAAAATCGGTATTCCGTGACTGAATATCACTTTTTCAGCTCAATTCACTCGATTGCAACCCTTCTCTTGGTCACTTGATTGCACTGACCAGTCAAATCGCACGCTTTTTGAATAATCACAAAATAATTGATCACAATCCATCGTCTCATTCTATCTCCAGCATTGATCGTTTTAGTTTTCATTTGGGATGATTATAAAGAAGATTGATGAATAAATAAAAGTTGATTGATTATTGACGATTGTGATGCTGATGCCTATAAAGTGCGTAACCGACAAGCAAAACACGTGATGAGCAAAAAAAGGCAATTGTATGTCGTTCACGTCTGAAAGAATTCATTTAGTGAATGGTTTAGTGAATTGCGTTGGTGAGAAATTGTTAAAAGATGTGAAACGATAACGATTTCATATGACTGACAAGCTGATAGTATTGTTGCGTTTAGTTTCGATAATTTGATCCTCTCTAAATGAAATTCTATCCCGTTCAAAACTATTTCAATGATAGATGAAACGATGATTACAATTCAAGCTCAATAATCACTGTTCTCTGGTGAATTTTGTGAAAAAGACTGCTCGCTTTGAATGAGGTGAATTACTCAATTGAATCAAGCAATTGATCAATTCCTCATCTCACTATCAATTGACTCTCCTTCATCTCGCCTCAGCGCCTATTCCGGATTATCGTTTCTAACGAGGATTATCGATTTTTTAAAACCATTTTCAAAATCAATGGAATTAATACGCTCGGAATTAATTCCATAAGAGAAATCAGAACAGTAGCAAGCGATCGAATTAATGATTGCGGGGGTATAGGTTGAGCATAATATTTGCGATACTTTTCCAATCAGATCTTCTGCCTCGTTTCCAAAATCTGGCATGCGAAAATGTTGATTTGTTTTGAAGTGGATTGAAAT